GAGAAAATAGATTCATTCATAGGAAAATGGATACATATTGAAGATATACTCCTAAGTGAAATAAATAAGTCACACATGTGTAAATACCGAATAGTTTCCCTGGTGTAAATAATCTGCAACAATGCATAAGATTCTAATAAGATTACTGACATTTAGAAATGGGAAGAAAGGAGCTAAAGGTGTAGGGAAGGTGGGATGGGTAGGGGAAGAGTAAAAAGGGAAAAGAAAAAAATGTGAGAATGAAAAGATGAAAATAAAGTGTTTGTAGATGGGGAGGGAAGGAGGGGGTGAAGGGAGGGCAGAGGTAAGGGGAAAAAATGAGAATCAAGACTTGTCATGTAGAGGTACAAGATCCCAGCAATGAATGTAACTGTACTGTATCCCTAAAATGTACCAATAAGCTCAATTAAAGCTGAAAAAAAAAAGTCAGTAGATAAATGTAAGAGGGTGACTTTGGGCAAGTGTGACTAGTCAGCAGAGAGTAATCTATACTATGTTTGGAAGATGTCCAGGACCCAAAATAGTAAATTCATTTTGGAATAAAGAAAAAAGAAGTACAAGAAAATTATTATTTTTTCGGTACCAGGGATTGAACTCAGAACTTTGCATATGCCAGGCAGATGCACTGCCACTGAGCTGAATCCCTGGCCCACAAATTAATTTTTTCATATTGAGAGAGTAAATGTTATCTATTGGAGAAAGCAAACTGAGAACTTGGAGACCATTGTCCTAAAGTATGTTAGCTGTATTCAGGTTTTTATATGAATGAGATGATATATGAACTTATTGAGAAACATGGAGAAGTCTTTGTATATATTGTCTTTGTAGTCATACCAGAATTACTTTTTAACTTGAAAGCCCCCGAGACTTGCATCTTTGCAGTGATAGAATGGCAGCTCCGTCAAGAAAGGAGAAAAGATCAGTTTGAAAACTATTGATTCAATCTGTATTTTCAAAATGTTACTGACCTAATTTTTTTTGTTTTTTTTGAGACAGGGTCTCACTATGTAGTTGAGACTGACCTGGAACTCACTATGTAGCCCAGGTTGGTCTCAAACTCACAGTGATCCTCCTGCCTCAGCCTCCTGAGTGCTGGGATTACAGGTGTGCTCCCCCACACCTGGCCTGACCAATTTTTTTAAAAATAAGAGCAAAGATGTTGAGAAAACAACTTGTAGCAGAGCCATCACGTATGACTAAAATGTAGGAACAAGGCAAGGGATTAGACTGCTGAGTTGACAGGAATTGAGTTATGAAGGACTGGATTTACACTAGTGCTAATAACATCAGATATGTAGCACTCAAAATCTCTTGTAAGAGACAAGTGGGTTGCACATTCATATAGTCTCTGGGCTGTTTGAAGCAGGAGGATTGTAAGTTCAAACCCAGCCCAGGCAATGTAGTGACTTAATAAGACCATGTCTAAAAATTTTAGAAAGGGTTGGACATGTAGCTGATTTAAGGCCTGGGTTCATTCCCCACTTCACCCCCCAACCCCGCATCTGTCACTTTTCAGCTGTGGCTATGTGAGTAACTATAGAGCTTTGTTATACTGAAGAGCCAAAATTTACTTCAGGATAAGAAATTACTGAAGAAACGAATCTGCCAAAAAGTATTGTTGGACTACATTTTAGCATGTACTATTGCAAGCTGGGTGTAGTGGCACACGCCTATAATCCCAGCACTTGGGAGGCCGAGGCAGGAGGATCGCTGTGAGTTCAAGACCAGCCTGGGCTACATCGTGAGTTCCAGGTCAGTCTCAACTACATAGTGAGACCCTATCTCAAAAAAAAAAAAAAAAAAAAGAGAGAGACAGAGAATGTACTGTTGGAGAAAAATTTGGCTCCAGGCCAGGACATCATGGCAAAGGGGCATGCTGGAGGAAAAGCTGATCACGTTGCGGCAGCCAGGAGTAGCGTGAAGGAGTTGTGCCCCAAGTGACCTTCTCCACCAACCACACCTGTCCCCCGATGGCAAGGCAGCTATACTGTCCCATTATCCAGTCACCTGCCAAATACACAAGGCTTTGGGAACCATTTTTAGAACTAAACCATAAATCAGTCAAGTTCCTTCCTCATCTTTTTCTCTCTCCCTCCCCCCTCCACCCCTCCCCCTTTCTTTTTTTTGTCTCTTCCTTTCCCTTCCTGTCCTGTCTGTCCAGTCCCATGCGTGTTAGTATTCTAAAATGGTGGGTTTGGGGAAGTGGTACAAACATTTAACATACTTGAGCATTTAAAATCTCATTACACCCTCTTCTTTTTCTCCCCCTTCCCTCTCATTTCCTTCTCTATTTTCAAAGAGCCTACCTCTTTACCTCTTGGTTTCCTTTCATCTTTCCTTTAATTCCACTTGCCTGATTTCCCTCTTTTATTTTAGACTTAAAATAAAAAATACACAATGAACTTGTAGGGGTTAATTTTAGTTGTTTTTCTTTTTTTTTTTTTTTTTTTTTTTTTTTGTACCTGGGATCAAATTTGGACCTTGCACTTTTGAGGCAGTGGCATCACTGAGCTAAATCCCTGGCCCTCCTTTTGTTCCTTATTTTAGCTTCCATTATCATATTCTTAGGACACTACATCTGTTTGCCGGCTTAGAAATCAGTTACTATAACACTATCAAGATTTTTTTCTTTTTTTTTTTTTTTTTTTTACTGGGGATTGAACTCAGGACCTTGGGCTTGTGAGGCAGACAGTAGAACTACTGAGCTAAATCCCCTGCCCAAGATTAATTTTAATGTCTGGACAGATTTGAGAATTTTAAATATAGAGCTTAATTTTAAATCAAGGAAACATTTTGCTGATAGTCTTCCCAGTCTTTATAACTACAATAAAAATTATATATCTGATTTTAACACTAGATTTCTCTCACTTTCTCGAGCTATAGTAGCCACTAAATTTTCAGATTTTCATTTGCACTAGCTACATTTCAAGTACTCATTGGTGGCAGTTAGCTAGTGATTACCATATTGGACAGTTCTGATAAATAGACTTTTTGGTCTGATTATCTAACTTCAAAGTTTGAATTTTCTCTTATTCTCTTTTCTGTTTTGATACTCTCTTTCTTGTCCTTCAGAATCCTATGAAGTTCGTTGTGTATTTTTTATGAAAGTCTTGTATTTATGAAACATCTTAAGAATTGTTAAAACTTTATAAAGTTTGTTTTAAGGGGGGATTTTGTAGAAATTGTGTGTATTAAGTAACAATTTAACATGCATCTTAATTTTTGCTTTGGTCTACATCTCTTATCCAGCAATCCAACTTGTTAGTATTACTGTATTGTTATAACTGTATTATTTAAGGGTAAAAGAAGAATTCTTAACTGATGTGTGTTGAGACTGTGCTAAAGGGTGAGTTCTTAAAGATGTGAGTAAAGAAAGAGTGGCTCTGGCACTTAGAAAAGGAAAATGTTTGTGTCTTGTTTAAAGTAAATGCTGATAAACCTAAGACAGTTGGGAGACTCTGGTGAATCATAGTCATTACCTTTTATACTAACCCTGCCATTTTATGTTCTGATTGTCTTAGAAACTGTATAATCTACAGTTAGAGAAATGCTGAATTAAAAAGTTGAGGTTACTATATCTGAAAAGTTATTTTGTATATGTTATGATTGTACAATTTGAAAATAATTTTTATTTTTCTCACAGAGTTGTCAAAAACTTAATGGAGAAGGGCTAGGGATTTAGTAGTACCACACTTGCCTCGCAAGCACAAGGTGCTGAGTTTGATCCCTGGTGCCAAAAATTTTTTTTAAATATTAAAAAAAAACACACCCAAAAATCTTTATAAAAGACAAGAAATTCATTCTTAAACTCACTAATTTTCATTGTTTCCCTCCAAAAATCTGATTTTCAAGTCATAATTAAAATTGTACATTCCTGGTAGTTTAGTTAAATATAACAGTTATATTATCCTGACAGTTGTTTTACAGAATGTAGAACTTTTGCACTGAATGAGAAGAATATGTTTATATTATATGGCAACAGAAATAAAGTATTAAAATTTAATAAACTTGTAAAATAGAAATCAGTGCCTTGTATGTTTTCTGGTGATTAAAGAGCCAGTTTTGTGTTTGTGTGTGGGGGTACATTGTCTTCATTGGTAGTTCAGTATTTGGCTTAGGAGATGCATCTAAGCTAGACAAGGCAGTGCTGTCTATTTTGTATGCACTTCTCATTGGGTAGCTGCAACAATACAGTTACACTAACAAGTTGGATTGTAGGGTAAGAGACGTAGACCAAAGCAAAGATTAAGATGCATGTTAAATGGTACTTAATGCTTGTAGAAAATGATTAAGTTTTCATTTTAATATTTTTAGGTATATAAAGCTCTTTAAAAGTTACATAATAAAAGAATTGCTGCCTTTATTCCATTTGGTTTCATGTATATATACTTCTCTTAAATTTTGCACTAATGACTTTATATTATGTTAGAAACAAACCAGATATTTGTTTCATCTTATAAATTTTGAACTGGCCACAAAAGTGAGTTTCTTTTATTATGATTGATACGATGGAGTTGTGAGAATGAATGTAAGCTTGAAGTAAAAATTGTTTAGAAATTTTTTCCCCAAGAAGAAAGGCTGTGTTGTTTGGTGATAGCCAGGGACTGGCTGAGCGTTTTGGCTTTATTCCGAATTCTGCCACTGACTCACTGTGTTTTTTGGCAAGTAGCTTACCTTCCCTGAAACAAGTTCTTGATTCTTTACTTCTCTGCTTGTAAAGCTAGCATAATAATATTGTACTGACCTCAGATGGGTTGTGTAATACTTTCCCACTTTTGAACTTCTCAGCATAAAAATATTATGAATTTTCAGCACCTTGCTTTTTAAAATAAATGTTTCTAAATCATTATTTCTCTATTAGGTAAGTACATTAAAGAGGCAATTTAAAGGTAAAATAAAAACCTTACTGTCCTGTTTAAAACATAGGCAAGCCTGATGGTACCCTGTGAAGTATGATTGATTATTTTATTCTTTATTGTAGTGTCAGAAAAAAGAAGAATTTATAGAAAGAATTCAAGGATTAGATTTTGATACAAAGGCAGCAGTTGCCGCACATATTCAAGAGGTAATAACCTGCATAAATTTTTATTACTTTTTATGAAGCTTGTGATAAGTGTACTTACATTTTTCCCAGAATACTTAGTCGTAGGAAAAGCAGAACAAATAAAGATCAAATATAAACAGATCCTATTTTTATACAAATTGTCTTATTTTTGGAGCTAGCTCCTTAAGTGAATCATCTTATACATGGCGCATTGCCTATATGATGATACAGGGGAAAAGTGTTACTGAAGAATGAAGTATATGTCTTTGTTAGTCAACACAGAATGAATCATATAATAAATGGAAGCAACATAAAGTGGAATAGTGCTTATAATTTAAAACTGTAGAGACTTAGAATAAGATTATGTCATTCCTGTGATTCTCTTTTAAATGAATAGATGTAAAAAATTTTTATTACAAATATTACTTGAAGTATAAATTCATTGGTAATTTGTAACATACACATGAAACTTTGGACATAATGTACAGTGTCAAGAGTCAATATATATTTTAAGATTTATTTTAAAAGCTACTGTTTGTCCATCTATCTACTCTTGGACTTTTAATCATGTAAAGACTTTAGAGTCTAGGGTAGTATATTAAACTACATGTTAATTAGAAAAGGGAAAGAGTTGAGAAGGAGAATGAAAATTTTTTAATAGTGAACATTGGTAGTACTTAAAATATTCTTAATTTATATTTCTTTGTATTTTGTATATTATCTTTTAATTAAAATATATAGAATCGGGCCAGAGATTTAGCTTAGTGGCACCACACATGCCTCGCAAATGCGAGCTCCTAAGTTCAGTCCCCGGCACCAAAGAAAAACTTAATATAATTCACAGCTACTAAAATGAGAACCAAGACTTGTCATGTAGAGGTACAAGATTCCAACAATGAATGTAACTGTACTGTATCCCTAAAATGTACCAATAAACTCAATTAAAGCTGAAAAAAAAAGGACGTGAAGACATAATTTTACAGTAACAGGCACATACCCACGTTTATAGCAGCACAATTCATAATAGTTACATCTTAGAAGTGACCTGTATGTCCATCAGCAGATGAATGGATAAAGAAAATGAGGTATTTATACATAACGGAGTACTACTCTGCTATAAAGAAGAATAAATTTGAGTCATTTGTAGGAAAATGGGTGCATCTTGAGATCATAATGTTAAATGAAGTGAATTATACATAGGACATTAAATACTGTATGTTTTCTCTTATGTAAGAAACCCAGAGTATAAATTAAAGAACAAAATAAAAGATGGATAAGAGGAAATAAGGAGATAATATTTTTTTGCAGATGGGAGGGGACCAAGAGAAGAGGAAGGGAAGGGGATTTAAAAAGAATTAGGGTGTGTTCATGTACGTGTACCAAATATGTACAGTGAAAGTAGCTATGGGCTGGGGATTTAGCTCAGTGGTGCTGCTGCCTGCCTCACAAGGTCAAGGTTGGGAGTTCAATCCCTGTACCAAAAAAAGAAAAGTAGTAATTATGTATCACAAACAAGTACTAATTTAAGAAATCATACAGGCTATATTTTTCAGTAACATTGTTTTCAATAATAAGCATATTAGTACTTTTAAATGTGTGTGTTTATACTAGATTGGTGGTTTTATTTCATTTTGAATAAATGCTGAGTATTATAAGTTGCTGAACTTCTATCATCCTTGAAAGTGTTATTTTTGCTATTTGTTGTAAAAGTTAAAACAAAATACCAGAATCATAGCAAGAAATGGAAAGCAGCAAGTATTTTGTTTATGTAACTTTTCCATTGTTTTAAAAATACTGTGTTGAGCATAATTTCTCCTAAGGTTCTTTGATCACATCACCTTCAAAATCTACAAGCCGGGTGTGGTGGCACACACCTGTAATCCCAGCACTCGGGAGTCTGAGGCAGGAGGATCGCTGTGAGTTCGAGACCACCCTGGGCTACATAGTGAGTTCCAGGTCAGTCTCAACTACATAGTGAGACCCTGTCTCAAAACACCAAAAAAAACTACAAAGATTTAACTATTCAAATAAAATACAGTAACATATATTCTACAGGATTAAAACTTTGCTTTTGAATTGTTAAAATACAATTTTAACTACTTCTGTAGACATAATAGCTTTATATTTTATATATTTGAGCTAATACTGTAATAAAATGAAAGCAATTTTAAAATAGCAGCCATGTTTTAGTTGTTTATTTTGCTTGCTTTTCTAAAGGTAACCCATAATCAAGAAAATGTATTTGATCTGCAGTGGATGGAAGGGACAGATATGTCTCAGGAGGATATAGAACCTCTCTTGAAAAATATGGCATTGCATCTAAAAAGACTTATAGATGAGAGAGATGAACATTCAGAGGTTTGTAAATTTCTTTCAGTATATTATGAAACTTTGCATTCTAAGAGAAAATAGTAGTGTCAGAGATTTTCAAAAATCAGTAAGAAAGTGCAGTCATCCCTTGGTATCTGTGGAATAATGGGTTTAGGACCTTTGGAGGAAACTAAAATCCTTGAATTCTTAAGTATCTTACATAAAATGATGTATTGTTTATGTATAATTTATATAATTTGCACACATCCTTTTATTTATTTTGTTATCTCTAGATTACTTAATACAATGTAAATGTTATATATACATAGTTGTTACACCATATTGTTTAGGGTACGATGTCAAGATAAAAAGTGTGTACATATGTCAGTACCAACACAGTGTCCCCCCTCTTTTTGGGGGGGTACCAGAGATAGAACTCAGGACCTTGTGCTTGTGAGGCAGGCGGCAGCACCACTGAGCTAAATCCCTGGCCCCTCCCTGAATATTTTTTCTCCACAGGTTTTTTAATCTATGTATGTAGAACCCATATGAAGGGCTAGGTGTACTTTTTTTTTTTTTTTTTTTTTGTTGAACTCCAAATATAAGAATACCTAATTGCTAGTAAACAAGTTGCAATTAGATACTCTTTTCTCCCTTCCTTTTAGAATAGTATTAGTCTAATTTTACTTCTATGTGTTTTTCAAGTCATCTTCACAGCTCTGGCAACAGTACTGAAGCGTGAAAATGAAAATATAGGTTATGTAAGTGGAAAAATTATTGCCTGCAGCATAAGAATTTGCTTAAGGTTAATTTCATAGTTTATTACCACATTTTTAAGTTGGAAAAATAAGTATTAATAAAAGGAGAATGACAGGTGTTCTGAATAAAATGTCCCACATAGAGCTCAAATTTTTGTAGTGTAATGAGGTGTGATTTTAAAGAGAATTATTATGAACTCCTTAAAATAGAATTTTGCTGTTTAAAAGAATAAAATAGCACTGAATTAGTTTTTTGTACTCTGAAAGCAATTTATAATTTTAGAGAAGTCCAGACTTTAATGATGAGTAATATTTACTTAATTGTAGATGAAAGTTGCTATTCAGGTAAAAGTATAGCTTTCATTAGTTGTTCTATTTCAATATGAGAAACAGTTTTGAGGTTAGAAAATTTGTAAGCGTGTTCTTGGTACCATGGTGAGACTAATATAGGAAGTTTCTAAAGTTTTTTTTTTGTAAACAAAATTTTCATGTCTCTGTAGAATGTCTTCAGTTTTCATGAGAATTTTAATTTTTCTTCAGGTATTAAAAGAGAAGAAAATACAAGAAATAAATATTCTAAAGTAACAATTTTTTATATAATTAGAACAAAGATCAGTGGAAGGAAAGAAATGCATTAAAAAATAATCCTACTGTGTATCATACTTGTCTTGAGATACTTAATTTCATTTTTAAACCATATGTTGTATCTTCTTTTGGTTTCACTGTCTTTTTTACTGCTGTATTTATTATATAGATTATTCCTTTATTTGTATTTTAAATTTTAAAGATAATGAAATAAGATATCTTCCAGGTTCTGAGGACTTACTTTTAAAAATCTGTACTTCGGTTTTGTATGACTCATGGGCATGTATAAGTTGCTTTTCTCATTTCACATGACTTGATTAATAGGGGTGAACAAAAATACGTGTCATTACACGATTGTCTGACAGATGTAATGGGAATATGATGAAATCTAGATAGAGATTATTTAGAAAACCTTTTAGAACATATACTGCCAGAATAAGCACTTTTTTATGAACTACTTTTTCTAATTAAGGAAAATAATAAGCAGCCATACTCATCTGACTCAGATATTTGGGAAGCACGTTGCTAGCTGGTTAAATCTAATTCTGTGGGGAAGTTTTATCTTTCAAATTTGAGTCAATAGGCAAATTATAAAAAAATCCTTATAAATTTGTGAAAATGCTAGACAAATGTTAAGATAGTATGTAAATAGAGTAATTTTCTGTCATTCAATAAAATTAAGTTCTTATTTAGATGTTTTTCTTTGTTTTGGAAAGTTTTTTGTTTATTTTGTGTAGTGCTGTGGCTTTAACTCAGGCTCTTGAACATGCTAAGCAAATGCCCTACTACTGAGCTACACCAGCTTCTTTTTTTCTCTTTTGACTATTGTGTCATAATTGTTTTATATCATCCTAAAATATATACATTTGGCCACCCTGATTTTAATTTTTCTTTACTTTTTTTTTTTTTTTTTTTTTTTTTTTTTTTTTTTTTTTTTGCAGTATTGGGAAACCCCAGACCTCACACACATTAGTCAAGTGCTCTGTAACTGACTAACTAATATCCTCATCCCTTTTTTTGTTTTGTTTTGTTTTTGTTTGTTGAGATAGTATCTTGCTACGTAGCCCAGGCTGGCCTTGAACTCAGCAATACTGCTGCCTCAGCTTCTCTAGCGCTGAAATTACAAGTGTGCGCCACCATTTCTGGCCCACAGCCTTTTTAAAATCTTATTTTGAAATATGGTCTTGCTAAGTCGCCCAAGTTGGCCTTGAACATGTACTCCTGCTTTCTCACCTACTAAGTATGTGGGATATTTAAAGCACGTGACACTACCCTGAGTACTTTTTTGTTCTTAATGCCATGGAATATGTATGTCTTCAGTATTCTTTAACTAAACACTAAATAGATTTTAATGAATCTCTTTATTGTCACTATTTGATGCCACACTTCGTGTTCCAAGTTTAGCCATACTTTCTTATTAAATCTGTATAATAACCAGATTTTATAGATGAAGATGCTTAAGCTCAGAGAAGTTAAGTAATTTACTAGGTCTGTATCACTCCAGTGCCTGTGTTCCAAATTATTATACCTTTGCTTCTTTGAATGTTTGTACTGAGAACATCTCTATTCTTTTCCATAATAATGATTTTTATAAGTCAAATTAGTAGGTCACCAGAATTTTTTTATTAGCATTGATATATCTTTTTCTATTCATTATTGAATATATGTTAACAAACACCTGCTTTTTGGTAGGATCTTGTTAGTGTTTCAGACCTACAAACTTTCAAAAAAAGAATCAAAGGGGCTGAGGATTTTAGTTCAGTGGTTCCGCTGCCTGCCTTACAAGCACAAGGTTGCAAGTTCAATCTCCTGTACCCCCCCAAAAGAATCAAAGATTATTATAATCTAATAGGAAAATTCTTTTAATAAAATATTGAAAGTAATATATACTTAAAATACTAGGAATTTAAGTTGAACATTTACTTGGAACTGCTACTTGGAAGGAATAAGGGAAGCCTATGAAATTAGTTCTTTAATGACATTTCCTCTTAGATTATTTTGAAAATTATATGAGAAAACTTGAGCTATAATGAAGCCACTGTCAGTGAAGAAAAGTAAAAGCTAATAATAATAATATTTTTAATAGCTAAAACTTGGAAACAGCCCAATAGCCCATCATTTGGAGATTAGATAAGATAATGTGGGTTTTTAAAACTAAAATGGAGTACTGCTCATCGATAAAGAATGAGAAATTAGAGACATTTAGAGCAAAATGGATGCACCTTGAGGCCATATTCTTAAGTGAAATTAATAGGACAGATGTGTAAGTACCGAATAGTTTTTCTGGTGTGAGAAACTAAAAGTGTAATAAGGATCTAAAGACATAATAGATATTGTGAAATAGGAAGAAAAGGTCCAAAAGGGAAGGGGAAATGGGAGTGATAGGGGAAAGGAAAGAAGGGAATGGAATTAATGTGAGAAAATGAAAAAATGGAAACAAAGTCTTTGTAAATAGGGAAGGGTGGAGGGGTTGAAGGGAGGGCAGGAGAATGGGGAAAAAACAAGAACCAAGACAGATTGTGTGAAGGTGCACATTTCCAATGATGAATGTCATTATATTGTATACTTTAAATGTACCAATAAAATTAATTTTTAAAATGTCTAAATAACTTTTAATGGCAAATGCATCTCTGGATACTGTTAACTTTTATTTTTTTATTAGTACGTGTTTATAGTACATGAAGTTGGGGAGTAGGTACATGTACATAACAGCTTATTTTTTAATGTTAGCTCTTTTTTTGGTACGGGGAATGTTAGCTTTTAAGACAAGGTTACTTCTCTTTTTTAATTTTTACTTTGGCAACACATAGCTCTTTTCTGCTCTATTTACTGACATTAGGAAGCTCTTGATATCTCCATTTTATTACCATTTATGTTCTAATGTATCTGTCTTTTATACTTGAATTTTCTGACTTGTCAGTTGCTTAATTAAATATTTTTGAGTATCTCTTTTTGTTCAATACTATGCTAAGTAATATGGGAAAATGAGAGATACAAGGGAGGTATAAGAAAGATTATGGTTCATTAAGGTAAACTACATTGTTTATAAATGAAAATACGAGCCTTATGTATAATTAGGAGTTAAATTTTGTGCATGAATCAATATTTATTAAATACTATCAGTTACTCTTATTACAGTCAGTAAATGTTGGAGTGTAGAATTAAAAGGGATGGGAGGAAATATTCACATAACAATTAAATACAAGGAGGTGAAGCCTGAGCCACTATGGAGATTAGTAGCTTCAGCCACAGATACAGGAAGTGGGGATGAGATACTCAGTTGATAGAAGAAAGTATGAACATAGAAACTACCTTTTAAAACGTAACAGAAAAGAATATGGTAGGCCAGGAATTTAGCTCAGTGGTTCTGCCACCTGCCTGGCATAAGGACCTGAGTTCAAACCCCAGTACCCTCCCCCCAAAAAAAAGGAATGTGGTGTTTTTTTACTGGATAGAAGAAATTTATGTGTATACCTTTGAAGAACAAGGGAAATAAGCCAGTGGGAAGAAAGAAATTTAAAAGGTTTCAGTAAGGAACATATGTTGGGAGCAAAAGATGCATACGAACAGAGGAGGTAACCTAGTTGATATTGTTTCTTGGATAAATTAGGGAACAGATCACTTTTTGGAAGTGAGGAGGGCAGCTGGCAATTGGAGGCTCAGGTAGAGGAAAAGGAACATGCTTACAGAAGTCTTTGTAGGAAATTTGCTTGCAAAATTAAGATTCCAATAAAAGGATTGATGAGTATGAAGAGCTTTATTGGAAACAGATGGCATGATCCTGTGTAGGGCTGTGTGATTTTTTTTTTCTTTAAAATCTTTATCACCTTAGAACAGGAATAGAGAAAACTGATGAAAACAGTATTAAGAGTCAAACTTGAATTTTAATTCCTGCTCTAACTATCACTGGTTATGTGATTTTGGTTATTTAATCCTTTAAGTTTCCTCATTTGTAAAATACACATAATATATCTGTTGTTTATTACATACTGGATTAGAGACTCCCCTCATTAGAAATTGTGTGTGTGTGTGCACGCGCGTGTGTGCAAATGATCCACTGAATAGAAGTAGCTAGAATTAATTTCTTTGGGCAAGATGGCAGAAGTTCAGTGATGAAAGGTTAAAATATAGGTATGATGATGTATAAACCGTGATAGTAAAAGAGGCATGTCACAGGAAGAATTGACTCCTTTACTGGAGAAGCCTGCATATGTTGAAAAGAGAGAATGGACATGGAGTTGTTAGAGACAAGAGGAACTGCAAAGTTGCGTGAAGATTAACAGCATGCATGCTGAGATCTTTGAAAGCAGTAGTTGCAGGCAAAACGGCAAGATAGACCTTGATAAAGGTACTGAAATATATCCCAAGAATAATGAGCTGGTGAGGGTTGATAGACTTGATGATGAGAAATAAGGATTGTGATTTCCTAGACCCAAGTTAGTAACCCCACTCATTGCATTTGCAATAATAGAACAGTTGCTTCTTTTGAAAAGATACCCAGCAGAGGGATGGCTGGGTTAATTGGAACTTCTAATCTTAGTTCTTTGAGGTACCTCCATATTGATTTCCATAGTGGTTGCACCAGTCTGCACTCCCACCAACAGTGGAGAAGGGTTCTTTTCTCCCCACGACCCCGCCAACATTAGTTATTCATTGATTTCTTGATATCGGCCATTCTTTGTGGGGTGAGGTGGAATCTCAGTGTTGTTTTCATCTCCATCTCTCAAATGACCAGTGAAGTGGAACATTTTTTCATATATTTACTTGCTGCTTTTACTTCTTTGTCTGAGAAATGTCTGTTCATTTCAAATGCCCATTAGTGAATCGGGTCTTTATACTTGGGGGGGGCTGATTTTTTTGAGTTCTTTATATATTCTAGATAATATTCCTTTCCTGAGGAGCAGCTGGTAAAAAATTTTTTCAACATTGTAGGTTGTCTTTTAGTTCTGTTCATGGTTTCTTTTGTAGTGCAGAAGCTTTTTAATAAGATGAGATCCCAGTTGTTTATTCTTTCTGCTAGTTCCTGTGCTACTGAAGATTTTTCCATAAAGTTTTTTCCTATGCCAATGTCTTCAAGAGTTCTGCCTAATTTATCTTCCAGCAAGTTTAGTGACTCTTTTCTAATATTAGATCTTTAATCCACTTGGATTTTAGTTTAGTGCATGGTGAAAGATAAGGGTCTAGTTTTGGGGATTTTTTGTTTTGTTTTGTTTTTTTGTTTTTTGTTTTTTGTTTTTTGTTTTTTTTTTTTTTGAGACAGGGTCTCTCTATGTAATTGAGACTGACCTGGAACTCACTATGTAGCCCGGGCTGATTTTGAACTCACAGCAATCCTCCTGCCTCATCCTCCCAAATGCTGGTATTACAGGCATGTGCCACCACGCCTGGCTGATAAGGTTCTAGTTTTTATCTTTGGCAGGTTGAAATCCAGTTTTTCTAACACCATTTATTAAAGAGGCTAACTTGCCTCCAGTGAGAATGGTTGGCTCCTTTGTCAAAGAGTTGTTTCTGTATCTTCCAATCTATTCCATTGATCCTCAGGTCTGTTTCTTTGCCAGTGCCCATGCTGTTTTTATCACAGTGGCTTTGTAGTATAGTTTCAATTGGGAATTGTTATATACCCTGCCATGTCTCTGTTGCCTAGGATGGCTTTTGCTATTCTAGGTCTCTTCTGGTTCCAAATCAATTTTTGGATTATTTTTCTAGTTCTGTGAAATATACTGTTCGAATTTCAATTGGCATTGCTTTGAATCTGTATAGCAGTTTTGGTAGTATGGCCGTTTTGACTATGTTGATTCTTCCTACCCAGGAGCAGGGAATATCTTTCCATTTTCTTATGTCTTCTTTGATCTCTTTTTTCAGAGTGCTGTAGTTTTCAGTGTAGAGGCCTTTTGCTTCTTTTGTTAGATTAATTCCTAGGTACTTCATTTTTTTTGGATGCTATTAGGAAAGGAATTGTTTCCCTAATTTCTCTCTCAGTGAGTCTGTTATTTGTGTACAAGAAGGCTATTGATTTTTTAGTGTTAATCTTGTATCCAGCTACTTGACTGCAAGTGTCAATTAAGTCTAGAAGTCGTTTGGTGGAATTTTTGGGTCTTCAATGTAGAGTATCATATCATCAGCATATATGCACACCCATGTTTATAGCGGCACAGTTTCTAATAGCTAAAACTTGGAAACAGCCCATTTGCCTATCAGTTGGAGACTGGATAAAGAAGATGTGGTTTTCCTATAAAATGGAATACTACTCAGCCATAAAGAATGAGAAATGAGAGTCATTCATAGGAAAATGGATGCATATTGAGGATGTACTCTTAAATGTAATAAATAAGTCACACATGTGTAAATACTGAATAGTTTCTCTGGTGTGAAAAACTATAATTGTACATAATATCCTAATGGTATAATTGACAAAGTGAAATAGGAAGAAAAGGGCTAAAGGTGTAGGGGAAGTGGGAAGGGTAGGGGAAAGGAAATAAGGGAAAAGAAAAAAAAATGAGAAAATTAAAAAATGGAAATAAAGTATTTGTAAATAGGGAGGGGAAGAGGGGGTGAAGGGAGGGCAGGGGTAAGGGGAAAAAATTAGAACCAAGACCTGTCATGTAAAAAAAGGTACAAGATCCCAATGATGTAACTGTACTGTATACCTAAAATGTACCAATAAAGTCAATGAGAAAAAAAATAGAACAGGTGAAATTGCTTTAAAAGATCATTTCTATTTGCCTGACAACTTTGAAATTCAAGCTGAGAAATTTGTTTAGAATTACAGAATTTACTAATATACACAAAGAAAATTAGGGATACAGTTATGTGAGGTAAATGTGGGTTAAATACCTCTCGAAGCTGGGTGTGGTGGTGCACATCTGTAATCTGTACTTGGTGTAATCTGTACTTGGGAGGCTGAGGCAGGAGGATTGCTGGCAGTTCAAGGACATCCTGAGGCTACACAGTGAGTTCAAGGCCAGTGTGAACTACATAGCTGAAAAAACTAAAAAAGCTCTTTAAAAAAAAAAAAGTTCAAATTTATGAAAAGGGATGTGTGTACCACCTAGAGTGGTCTCTAGAGAAAATAAAGGAAGCCCTGAGTCAAAAGTAGGTCAGAACTAGTACTATATCTAGGAGAGAAAGTGGGATATAGAGCCTTGCATAGCTGTTGCCTAGAAGTGATTGGAGCAGGTCAGTCTTCATACCCTTTAATTACAAAGGAAAGAGTTTAAACTGAATCTCTAAGATTTTATTAGTTGTTAGTTCCCTTTAGAGATTGGTCCCTTTAGAATTTTATAATCCTAGAGCAACATTGTCCCATTCTTCAGTGATAACAGTACAGTATTTCTGGACCCTGTAGTATAGTAACCATATGTAGCTGTCAGATGCTTGAAATGTAGCTAGTTTAACTAATGGCTACCACATTGGAGAGCACTCTGAGGAAAATTTCTTTAGTTATCAAGTTTTTTTATGCCTGTCCAACAGTTGCTATCTTGTTATTTTATCATAATTGATTTTCTTTGTTTAAAAAACCTAGGTAGGAAAAAAGTATTGTTCTAGTGTTATCTACTAAATAGCTTGTGCATTAATTGTTGAATTAAATTTTAAAATCATAACTAAATATGATGAACTTGTGATCACCAGATTCTTTTTCATATAAGAAAAATAATTAGACCCAGTGAATGGTGTCGATATATTTAGTTTGCTGATATGTAGAATACTAAAATTGATTTTGTATTTATTTCCGTAATTCATTAGACTATTGTAGAGCTCTCTGAAGAACGAGATGGTCTTCATTTTCTACCCCATGCCTCTTCATCTGCACAGTCACCCTGCAGTTCTCCAGGCATGAAGCGAACAGAAAGTCGACAGCATCTGTCAGTGGAACTGGCAGATGCTAAAGCCAAGATAAGAAGGCTTAGGCAGGAACTGTAAGTTGCTAATTTATAAGATTCATTGAATTTACGTGGTCACAAAGGTGACCTAAATAATATTTTCTAGGCTGATGGAATATAATTAGTGATACTTCATTGCCACTCTGTACCAGTTTTCACTAGAATTTGTTAAAATTGAAAAAAATAAGGAATCTGGCATATGATTTTCCTAATGTTAAATCTTACTAATTTAAAAGATACCCTTTATTCTTGGTATAGATATAGATATATTTGTTATTGTTCTGTTCTGGTTTTTTTTTTGGCATTGGGGGTCGAACTCAGAACCTTGAACTTGAAAGGCACGTGGTGGAACCACTGAGCTAAATCCTCGGCCCTGCTTTCTTTTTTTTTTTTTTTGACACAAGGTCTCACTGTGTAGTTCTTGAACTCGCTATATAGCCCAGGCTGGTCTCAAACTCACAGTGATCCTCCTGGCTCAGCCTCCCAACTGCTATGATTACAGGCATATGCCATCATGCCTGGCTCTGTTCTGTGCTTTTGATGACCTTCCTGTCCCAGAACTGTTAAAATTATTTTTCTTGTACAAAGTAGTGTCCTTCTTTGGCAAATTGGGGGTGAGAAGGTTCTCCTTGCTTGTTTTATTTTTACAGTTCTTGAAATCTAAAATAATGGGAATGACTAATAAAATCTGTAAGTTTTCAAAGATTGAATTATTGACATACACTGTTACAAAAATAATGTATCTTCTGCAGCAAGTAATTGAAACGCTTAGGTTATATACTTAGTAGAAGTAAAAATTCAAATTTGCTTAATATTGGTAGAATTTTATTTATTCAACTTTCTAAGATCATTATAGTTAAGTCAGTATAACTAATCACACAGACAATTTCCTTGGTTAACCATGAGACATGTCATGACCAAACTCTGCTGGAGATTTTTTATTATTTATTTTTTGTACTTTAAAAAGAACAAAGGACTTTTGTTTGAGGGACTTTTTCTTTTTTGTTTGTTTTCCTGGAGTTTCAGCTTCAGAATGTAGATTTTAAATTTAAGACTGCAATATAGTTATTAAATTTATCGACTGAGTATTTAAAGTGACTTGATTATGCAAGGTAGAAAAAAATATTGTAGTGTATAAGGAAATTTGAAAACAAAAAATAGAGCTTTCATTTGTGGATGTCTGCATTATTATCTATCTATTGAAGTGAACACGCCCAAGATATTCTATAAACAGCTGCACCAGGAAAATTAGGAAAGAGATTGCTGTTATTAGTTTGACTGGCAGCTAATGGATAGCCTAAACAGTGAGCACTAGTTTGTTCCATATAATTTAGCACAATCTTCTCCAGTCTTTAGATAAAGCATGTAATTAGAATGACAATAATGGCTATGAATTCATTTAACACTTTGCAGTATATTAGAATTTAATTTTTAAATAAAAGTTACTTGAACATGGAGTATATTAAAATTCCAAACAACAAAGAGAGATTGACAAAATTTGGCGTCATTCATACTGATTACAAAATGTAAATGGATGTTTTATAGCAAGTCCTATATTCCCAGTAACTAGCACCTCATCAAATACTATGCTTTGAAAATTTATTCTTTCATTTTTTTTTTGTACTAACATTTATTTTAAGCCCTTTTATGGGGCTAAATTTTTATTAAAATCAACAGGCATGATGGGCAGAAAAATTGCTTTATACCTAAGGAAAATTATATAATGAATATTTGTAATTAGAATGCACAGATTGCCTCATAATATATTTTTGAATAGTGCATTATAATATAGTTTCTTCTGGTTTATAAACAGTAAAATTATAATTTGTGATTTGGATGGGAAAAGACCACTGAATTTACAGGTACGATAGAAACTTGACAAGCAAGAGTGACCTGTTCATCCAGGGTATAGAGAAAAGCTATCAGTATGGCATGTGGGAGGTAAGAGTACTGCCTTCTGCCGAGCCCCTCAGATCCTTGGAGTTGTTTGCCGGACCAAGGATTGGCAGAAGAGAGACATAGATAGCTCCAGAGCACTAGAGTCTTAACAGGTGAATAAAGTAGAATGAATTACAAGAGCCAATGTCAGGAACACAACCTGGAAACCTCAGATCAGCACTACCACACATCATAGTCAAAATCTTAGCAACTCAAAGCAAGAATCCTAAAAGCTATTGGAGAAACGCACCAAATTACCTACGGGGGTAGACCCATCAGAGTAATAGATTTCTCAACACAAACCTTAAAGGCCGGGAGAACTTGGAGTGAAGTTTTTTAAGCCCTAATTGCCAGCACAAGTTACTGTATCTTATAAAATTATCCCTCAACATTAAGAGAGGAATAAAAACCTTCACGATAAAATTAAAGAAATGATTCGCCATCAAATCAGTGCTGCAGAAAATATTGATGGGAACCCTGAGCAGAGACAAGGAAGACAACAGTATCCATGAGGAAGGGAAACAGTATGGATTTGCAGAGAGAGTAGTTATTCAAAAGAATGCAGAGAAGAATTAGGCCCTGTAAAAATAATATAATGACAAGCATCAGTAAAAACTTCGCAGTAATAGTGTAAATAATCTTAACTCTTCAGAGAAAAGACTGGCAGATTGGACAAAAAACATCCCAGCATATATTAACTGCAAGAGACAAACCTCATCTGTAGACACACACAGAATAAAATTGAAAAGACAGAAAAACCTACTTCAAGCAGCTGGAGCCTGAAAGGAAACAGGCATGGGTATTTTAATTTCTAATAAAGCTGACCTCAGACTAAAACTGGTCAAGAGATAAAGTAGATCATTATATATTTATTGGTAAAGAGAACAATCCAACAAGAAGAGGTAACAACTGTAGAATAATACATTTGCAATTCTGAACACCTACACATGCAATTTCATAAGAAAAACTATGCAACATAAAATAACAGACACCAACATAATCATAGTGGGGGACTTCAATACCTCACTCTTAGAAATAAGTCAACTAGACCAAAAAAAATCAGTAAATATCAGGGTTAAGTTATATCACAGAGCAAATGAATAACAAATATCTAAAGAATGATTCATCTAGCATTAGCACATCACACATTCTTTTCATAAGCCCAGAGGACTTTTCTCTAAAATAGACTATACTTTATTTTTAAAAATTAATTATATTGGTGCAGTGTAAATATATATAACAGACACATTCATCAAAGGGAATTTGTACCTGTACATGGTATATCTTGATTCCTCTTTTTCTCCCAATCCCCTCCTCTCCTTTCAGCCACCCCCCATTTACAAAAGCTTTGTTTCCATTTTTGCCGCCTTTTCTCTTTTTTTTTTCTTCCTTTTTTCCCCCTCCACCTTCAGAGTTTCCCTTTCCTTTTGAACAGCCTCTTCCTGTTTCATATTACCTATTATACATTTTGGTCTTTATTTATCCTTTCAGTTTCTCACACCAGAGAGACAATGTGATAGTTACATATCTGTATCCAACTTACTTCACTTAAGAGTATAGTCTCATGTTGTATCCAAATAGTGCAAAGAATCAACAACTGGGATCTCCTCTTACTAAAAAGTTTTTGAATTGCAAAAGAAATCAAGGGTGATGAGACGACCCTCAGAGTGGGAAAAAATCTTAGTCAGTAGTCCCTCAGATAAAGGACTCATATCTAGAACATACAAAGAATCAAAAAATTCAGACCCCCCCAAATTTAAATAGCCAATCCAAAAATGGACATCAGAAATGAATAGACATTTCTCAGATGAAGAAGTAGAAATAGCAAATAAATATATGAAAAATTCAACATCAGTGGCCGTCTGAGAGATGCAAATTAAAACAGTGCTGAGTTTCTATCTCTAGAGTGCTGTTATCAAGAAATCAGCCCACTACTAATCCTGGCGGGGATGTGGGTAAAAAGAAACCTTCCTCCACTGTTGGTAGGACTGCAGACTGGTACAACCATTGTGGGATCAGTGTTGAGATTCCTCAAAAAATTAGTATTAGAGATCCCATTTGACCCAGCTATTCCCCTGTTAGGTATCTTCCTGAAAGAATGGTTTATAATAGCTAAATCTTGGAAACAACCCAAATGCATCATCAACCAATGAATGGATAAAAAAGATGTGTTTTTTTTTTAATACAATATGTGCTACTCAGTCATAAAGAAAAATAAACTCATTTAGACCATAAAGCATGTCTCAATGAATAGAAAAAAATTGAACTTACTCTATCCTATCAGATCCCAATGGCATGAAACTAGAAATCAAGAGTAGAAGAAACTATACAAACAGAAACTGCACAAACACATAGCGATTGAATAAGATACATTCTGGAACAATCATTGGGCCATGGAAGAAATTTGGGGGAAGGAACTTTAAAATGATAAGGAAATACAACATAGAATCTATAAGACACAAAGCAATGGAAACTTATAAATGTGAATGCCTACATTAGCAAAAGAGTGATCCCAAATAAATTAGTGATGCACTTCAGGGTCTTAGAAAAACAGAACATTTAAAACCCAAGACTTGTAGAAGACAGGTCAGAGTGGAACTTAATGAAATTGAAACTTGTAAAAAAACAGCAATACATAGGATCAGAGAATCAGTTCTTTGAAAGGATAAATGAGATTGACAAACCATTAGCCAACTTATCAAAAGAAAAAGAACAGCCATATACATAAAACCAGAGATGAATAAGGGTTGGGGATTTAGCTCAGTGGTTCCATCACCTGCCTTGGCAAGTGCAAGATCCCAAGTTTGATCCCTGGTACCCAAAAAACAACGAAAAAAACGTGTGTGTGTGTGTGTGTATATATATATATATATTTTAAAGTTAAATTACAACACACACCACTGAAATCAGGAGGAGCATTAGAAGCTGTTTTGAAAACTTATATAGCAATAAATTGGATTATGTGGAAGAAATGAATTAAGTTCCTATGCTCATAAAAATTGAACCAGAGCTGGGTGTGGTCACACATGCCTGTAATCCCAGTGCCCGGGAGGTAGAGGCAGGAGGACCGTTTTGAGTTTGAAGCCAACCTGGGCTACACAGTGAGTTCAAGGCCAGCATGAACTCCATAGTGAGATCCTGTCTAAAAAAAAAAAAAAAAAATCAAACCAAGAGGATTACCAAAAACACAGAATAGACCAATAATAAACAATAAATTTGCCACAATAATAAAAACACTACAACCAAGAAAAGAAAGCACAATACCCAATGGGCTCACTTCTGGATTTACCAGAATGTTAAAGAACTAACAAACACCAGCAACACTTATACTTTTCCATGCAATTGAAACTCATTCCTTGAAGCCAGTGTTACCGTTATACCAAAAGTATATTAAGTACTCAACAGAAACAAAAAGTACAACCAGTATCCTTGATAAATTTAGAAACAGAATCTTTAACATGCTTATAAACAGAATTCAAGAAAACATTTTTAAAAGAGTCATACATCATACCAAGTCAGCTGCAAGGGATGCAAGGATGGTTCAACATATATAAATCAGTATAGCAGACTATATCAAAAGAACCAAGGGTAAAAATTTTAGAGATACTTTTTTTTTTTTTTTTGGTACCAGGGATCAAACTTTGGGACCTTGTACTTGCAAGGCAGGCAGCGGAACGACTGAGCTAAATCCCTGGCCTGAAATTTTAAATTACATGATTATCATATGATTATCTCAGTATCCTTTGACAAAAATCCAACATCCCTTCAGAATGACCTTAGCTCAAACTGTTACAAGCCATTTGACAAAATCAAACATGCTTTGATGATTAACCAAAACAGATGAAAACAAGTGTAGAAGAACCTTACCTCAAACTAGTACAGTCTATGTATATGACAAAGCCCACATCATACTGAATGGAAAACTAATCACTCCTTCTAAAATCTGGAAGGAAACAAGTTGTCCATTCTAACCAGTCTTGTTCAGTATATTACTTGAAACTGAGAGGTATATGAATAGGAAACCAAGAAGTCAAATTATTTATTTGCAGATGATATGATTTTTTACATAGAAGACCCAGAAAATTTTAAGAGCTATTAAATCAGCAAAATGGCAAACTACAAAGCCAACACTCAGATATCAATAATGAACTACTAAGAAAGAAATTAGAAAAAAATTATATTCACAGTTCCTTAGAAAAATAGGAATTAACCTAACCACATGAGGTGGAAAATCTCTGTAATCAAGATTGCAGAGCTCTAAAGAAAAATACCAAAGAATATTAGAAAATGGAAAGATCTGCTATTTTGGATAGGTAGAATTAATAATCATTAAAATATCTATATTATCAAAAGTGATATAGATTCAATGTAACCCCTATTAAAATACCAACAATGTGATTCACAGAAATAGAAAGAAATTCTAAAATTAATATGAAACCAAAAGAGACCCAGAATAGCCTAAGCAATCCTGAGAAAAAAGCAAAGGAGGAAGTATTACAATACCAGATTTCAGGATATACTACAGAGGTATGTAACGAAAACTTCATGCTGCTGGCAGAAGAATAAATATGTAGACCAATGAAATAGAACAGAAGACATAGAAACAAACCTGTGTACCTTCAACAGTCTGGCTTTTGACAGAGACCAAATCATACATTAGAGAAAAAACAGCCTCTTAAACAACTGGGGCTTGGCTAGAAAAACTGGTTATTCATATGTAGAAGATTTAAACTAGATGCATATTGTGTATCTTGCACCTTGCACCCAGAGACATAAATATAGAATCAGATTCTTTGAAACTGCTGAAAGAAAACATGAAAATGGTTGAGACCATAAGCACAAGCAAGGATTTCTGAATAGAACTCAAATAGCATAGGAAATAATATCAAGAATCAACAAATGGGATTCGGCCAGATTTAAAACCTACACAACAAAGGAGTAAACAGAATTAAAAAAAAAAACTATAGGATGGGAAAGAAGTTCTGCCACCTCCTCTTCTGATAATAGACTGATCTCTATCCTATATAAGAACTTTAAAAATAACAACTACACCTCCAAAAATAACCCAGTCAAAAAATAGGTAATTGAAAGTAGTAGACCCTTCTAAAATAAAGATGTATAAGTGGCCAATAAGTACATGAAAAATTGTTCATCACCCATACCCATTAGAGAAATAACAAATCAGAACAACTCTGAGATTGCAGTTTAACACAGTCAAAATGACTATCCTTAATGCAAAAGCCAGCAAATGCTTGTGAGGGTGTGGGAGAAATGGAATCCTTCTACATTGTTGAGAATGTACAACCACTATGGAAATCAGTGTGTAGATTCCTAAAAATGCTAAAAATAGAAATTCCAGCCAAATATCTTCAGGATATATTCCTGAGAGTTAAATATATACTATGTAAGGATACATGCGTGCCTATGTCTATAGCAGATAAATTTTCAATGGTTAAGCGCCGAAAACAGCCTTGATACCCATCAATAATAGAGAAATGTATAAAGTGTGGCATATGTACTCCATGAAATATTAGAAATCATGCCATTTCCAGGAAAATGGTTGGAGCTTTTCTTAAGTAAGTCAGACATGGTAAAATACCATGTTTTCTCATACATAAGAAATATAAAATATAAAAAAGAAAAGATGCTACGAAGCAGAAGGAGCAACTGGGGAAATGGCGAGAGGGACTCAATGAGGGCTTAGGAAGGGGATAAGGGATATAAAATGATTAAGATATGTTTACATATATGTAAACATTTTCCAGAATGAACTTTGCTATTAAGTATTACAAATGTACGCTAATAAAATAATGCTTTTATGAACATATATGTGCATTTTTATGGACATTTTCCATGTATACAGTGAGGAACAAACATTTGACACTGAATGTAATTCTACTGAATTGTACACTTAAAATGATCAGAATGGCAATTTTTGTTATATATGTTATCACAATGAAAAATTAATTTTTAAAAATATTCAACCATCTAATAAACATTTATAAGAAATAATTTATTCACAAAAGGTATTTTATCTAAAAAAATCTTTTGGAAATTTAGAAATTAAATGTGATCTAATAATTCACAAAATGAGAAAATAGCATAGAGGAAAAATTGGGCTTTTCTTAGTGTTCAGAGAAATATAAATTAGAACAACAAAAGCATTTTTCACTATTAAATTATTTTACATACAGGCACCATTATCTTTTTCAGGTTGGTGATGACCTTTCTAGAGTGTAGTTTGACAATATATGCCAAGTACTATTAACCCTGCATTGTACTTTTAGAAATACGTGTTACATCTTTAAATATATATGATTCTTTTGCATATGTAGTTTCTTCATTGCGCTGTTATTCTTTACAGTGAAAAATGGAACCCATGTAATAAAATGTGGTGTTTCTCTCAAAGGGAATACTTTTCTGCCATTGAAAATTATGGTTTCCACCCAGCATTCAGGAGGGTGAGGCAAGAGGACTGCAGTGAGTTCAGTTTTCATGAGTTGCACTATATAGTGAGTTTAAGACCAACCTAAACTATATAGCAAGACCCTGTCTAAAAAGAAAAAATAGTTTGCAAAAATATAGCAAGTGTATGAAGAGCTGTGGGCAGTTGTTTATTTATATAGGAACTTTTTGTTACTAACAGAAAGTTGAGAAGTAGAGATAATGAATGTAGGCTTACTTTGAAGAGACTAACTCTGAAGGGGAGATTGAAAAAGAGACTTAGAAGTAAGTAGTTCCAAAATAAAAAAATTACAGGCCGGCGTGGTGGCGCACACCTGTAATCCCAGCACTCAGGAGGCTGAGGTGGGAGGATCGCTGTGAGTTCGAGACCAACCTGGGCTACATAGTTCCAGATCAGTCTCAACTACATAGTGAAACCCTGTCTCAAAACACCAAAACAAAAAACAAAAACAAACAAACAAACAAATAAAAAAATATATATACACACACACACACACACACACAAGTCTCTCTCTCTCTCTATATATATATATATATATATATATATATATATATATATATATGAACTTGAGGACATTTAAAAGCTGCAAGAGAAGTTAAGATTGTAAGTATCTGTATAACAAGTACTAACTGTATAGTTTCTTTTTTGGCCATGTAGATGGTGAAAATAGTTTGGAGACTTAGCATCTCAGAACCAGATAAATACTGCACTGCATAAAACCTTTTTCATTTTATCTTAGACCATGCAGAAAGGGAAGAGAAAGCAGAGGAGACAGATGGAGCAGGGAACAGGAAAGATAAAGAGAGAGAGAAAAAAATACATTATGAACTATGAGGATATTAGTCATTGGGGTTAACCTTTAAAGAATATTAAGAGGAAGTGTGGGCTGGGGATTTAGCTCAGTGGTTCTGCCGCCTGTTTCACAAGCATAAAGTCCTGAGTTCGATCCCTAGTACAAAAAAAAAAAAAAAAAAAAAAAGAGGAAGTGTGTGTGATGACATCTAATCATATTCATTCCTATTATCTTTTTCTTTTTTTCTCCTCTGGGTTGGGCTTATGGTTAATACTATTTTCAACTGGTTACTAAGGGTAATTCATTTGTATTCTTGCAGATGATTATGGTTTTTGAAAGTAGTAAGCTTTAATAAATATGTTCTTTATTTTAGGGAGGAAAAGACTGAACAGTTATTGGACTGTAAACAAGAACTTGAACAAATGGAAATAGAACTAAAAAGGCTGCAACAAGAGGTTTGTACTTGGAACTCTTACAATACAAACCACCAAATAATTGGAAATTGATTTTTTCTAGTAATTTATAACCTTGACCTTAATGTGTTTTGTCCATAATTGAGATAACTGCAGCTTAAAGAAATTGGATGATTTTTTCATTGTCTCATCAAAAATGGCAGAGCCTGGGCCAGGAATTTAACTTAGTAGTTCTGCCACCTACCTCACAAGTTCAAGGTCCTGAGTATTAAAAATAAATAAATACATAGTATAATGGCAAAGCCAAAACTAGAAATAAAAGTCATAGGACTTTTCTCTCTGCTGTTTAGAATATGCTGTGATTCAAAAGAGCCTCTGAGAACGGGGGCAATTCTAACTCTCTGTTTTTGGGTGATTAACTTCTTTGGCCTTGGAAGCTGGAACCACCTACAGAGTGTAAATTGTGTTGTTTATGTGTATCTTCCTGTGTCTCTGTACTTTGGTGTTGAGTATTATTACATATGATTGAATGCTTTTTAGTTTTTAGTCTTTTCCTATTTAATGAGGTCAAACCTGTGTCTTAGAAAATAATTTTTAATTTTATTTAAAGACTTCTCATTTTGAACTAAGATTATTTAATAGTTTATTTCTTTTTTAGTCACTGTTTTATTTTCATTTTGGAATAGCTTATGAGCTCTTTAACCCATAGATGATAAGGCCTGAGTAAATCACTTCTTCTCTTATATTCCCCTTATGTGGTGTTTTCTTTCACTATTATAAACTGGGACCTTTCCAAATGAATGATGCTGAATATCATAGTTTTTATTTATGATGTGCAGTGGCTGCACTTCCACTTCATAGTAGAGGTTTTTATGGTATGTTCCTGTTGTAAAGGAATTGTTCTCCAAAACAAAACAACAAAATTTAGGGGGAAAATTTGGTACTATTATATTTTTGCAAGTCTCTTTAGTACCTGGCATAATCAGCACCTAAATTTTCATTTCTGTTTCTGCATTCTATTTTTGAGATGTCACTGCCATGCAGCCTGTGGAAAACTACAGCACCATCATGAGACAATAAAAGTAAAAAAGACAAATAACGCCAGTGTTTATTATGAAAATAGTTTAGACTTCATGAACTCCCCAAAAAGGTCCAGAGACATACAAAGACCCTGGCTTATGTTTTGCAAACTTCTCTTCTAAAAGATTATAATGAGGCTCTTAACCTTTTGAAGGTTAGCTTAGTTACTTTCTTGCTACTGAAACAAAGACCCAAAGTTAAAGAAGAGCAGGCTTATTTCAGCTCATAGTTTGTAGATGTTTCAGTCCATAGTTGGCTGGTTCCAAAGCAGAGTGGGGTGACAGAGGGGCATCGCAGAGGAGAAACAGTCTGTGGCAAAGCAGGCAGGAGACAGCGAAACAACATATAGCCAGCAGCAAGCCAGCCTTTCCCTTTATAATCCATCCATTAGTGCCATGCATACCTAGGTGGGGTTTCCATTATGCAAACCCAGAACAAGGCTAAACTCATTCATTTAATCACACACTCATTCATTTAATTGATTCAACCACCTCTGAAAAACTTCACTCGTGAACACATGAGGCTTTGGGTGAAACATTAGATAAAAGCCATTAAAAAAAAACTCCAGGCTAATCTGAGAAATACAGACTTCTTACTAAGAAGAGTCTTCTTCCATGTAACACCACAACCTCCACTAGTCAAAAGTTTGGATTGTAACATTTATCTCAAATGGCATTGAAATTTGTACTATTCATTTTACTTTGAAGCATTAAAAAAGTCCAAAAAGATGCTGCCAAAGTAACAGGTGATCAATTTTTTTTTTTATTGAGTTTATTGGTACATTTAGGGATACAGTACAGTTACATTCATTGTTGGGATCATGTACCTTTACATGGCAAGTCTTGATTCTCATTTTTTTCCCCTTACCTCTGCCCTCCCTTCACCCCCTCCTCCCCTCCCCATCTACAAACACTTTATTTTCATCTTTTCATTCTCTCACATTTTTTTCTTTTCCCTTTTTGTTCTTCCCCTACGTATCACACCTTCCCTACACCTTTAGCTCCTTTCCTCCCATTTCTAAATGTCAGTAATCTTATTAGAATCTTATGCATTGTTGCAGAATATTCACACCAGGGAAACTATTTGGTATTTACACATGTGGGACTTATTTATTTCACTTAGGAGTATATCTTCAATATGTATCCATTTTCCTATGAATGAATCTATTCTCTCGCTCTTTATGGCTGAGTAATATTCCATTTTATAGAAAAACCACAACTTCTTTATCCAGTTTCCAACGGATGGGCAAATAGGTTGTTTCCAAGATTTAGCTATTACAAACTGTGCCGCTATAAACATGGGTGCACATACTTCTCTGTGATATGATTCTTTTAGTTCTCTTGGAAAGATACCCAACAGAGGGATGGCTGGGTCAAATGGAACCTCCAGTCCAAGCTCTTTGAGGTATCTCCATATTGATTTCCATAGTGGTTGCACTAGTCTGCACTCCCACCAACAATGGAGGAGGGTTCCTTTCTCCCCACAACCCCGCCAACATTTGTTATTGTGTGATTTCTTGATAGCAGCCATTCTTTGTGGGGTGAGGTGGAATCTCAGTGTTGTTTTCATCTGCATCTCTCGAATGACCAGTGATGTGGAACATTTTTTCATATATTTTCTTGCTGCTTTCACTTCTTTGTATGAGAAATGTCTGTTCATTTCGGATGCCCATTTTTGGATCGGGTCTTTATATTTGGGGGGACTGATTGTTTTGAGTTCTTTATATATCCTTGATAATAGTCCTTTGTCTGAGGTACAGCTGGTAAAAATTTTTTCCCACATTGTAGATTGTCTCTTAGTTCTGCTAATGGTTTCTTTTGAAGTACAGAAGCTTTTTAGTAAGATGAGATCCCAGTTGTTGATTCTTTCTGCTAGTTCCCGTGCTACTGAGGATTTGTTCATAAAGTCTTTTCCTATACCAATGTCTTCCAGAGTTCTGCCTAACTTACCTTCCAGCAAGTTTAATGTTTCTGTTTTAATATTTAGATCTTTAATCCATTTGGATTTTAATTTAGTGCATGGTGAAAGATAAGGGTCTAATTTTAATCTGTGGCAGGTTGATATCCAGTTTTTCCAACACCATTTATTAAAGAGGCTATCTTTCCTCCACTGAGGATGGTGAGCTCCTTTGTCAAAGATGAGGTAGCTGAGTACATCTGCATTTGTTTTTGTGTCTTCCAGTCTGTTCCATTGATCCTCAGGCCTATTTCTTTGCCAGTACCATGCTGTTTTTATCACAGTGGCTTTGTAGTATAGTTTCAAATTGGGAATTGTTACAACAGGTGATCAATTTTAATAATGGAACTGCTTTTTCTTTTTTGGTACCTGGGATCAAACTCAGGACCTTCCACTTTCAAGACAGGTGGCAACACCACTGAGCTAAATCCCTGGCCCTGGAACTGCTTTTTCTTTATTTTCACTGTCCTATGGTTTAAAGTTACCTTTTTTATCTTCACTTAGTAGCAAGTCATTGTGAAGTAGAGGTAAACTTATTTTGAAATATCTTTAAGTTTTACATTCGTGGTAGAGAACATTATATAAAAATTTGCATATCATCATAAATATATGTTTAAAATCCTTTTATTTTTGGTTTAAGAATAAATATTTTGCCATGTGATTCTTTGTACAGTTTATCCTGATGTTCCTTGTAATGCAGTAGTGGCTCTTTCTCCTCCCCTCTTCTTTTTCAGTCATTTTGTAAACCCCATAATTATGAAGCAGTTGCTTGAATAAATTACATATACACATAGAATAGAATACACTGGCCAAGGTGGTTTGCAATTTCTTTTTTTTTTTAAACTAGGTTATTTATAATTATTTCTGAACCAATTGGCAGGAATTCACAACACTTAATGTTTATACATTTTTTTTCAGCTTTAATTGAGTTTATTGGTACATTTTAGGGATACAGTACAGTTACATTCATTGTTGGGATCTTGTACCTCTACATGACAAGTCTTGATTCTCATTTATTCCCCTAACCTCTGCCTTAATGTTTATATTTTGAGTAAAGGAAGCTAAAACCATGTCTGCTTTTTGGTACTACTACATGCATTAACAAAAGGTTAGTTTTGTTCTCCACTGAAGTGCTATTTAACATCTTAGACAAAATCTTGCATGTTCTATAGTTTTGCATTAAATCATTGAGTCATTTCTTATGCACTATGTCAAGTAAAAACAGGTGGTTTGCCTGTTACAATAGTTGCTAACAAATTCCCCTGCAGCTTCAGGCTGGTTTTTGTAAACGTAGAGTCAAAGACAGCACCTGAGTGTCCCAAGTAGTTCTGTGCACAGCTCATCCCTCTAAACCCAGCTGGGCATAAAAGTATGTAGTTGGTAGGTGCATTGTGTGGAAGCTGCAGACAACTAGGCCTTTTAATCATTGATTTCTCTCCCCAGGTACTAAGTTTTTAATCTATATATACCTAATTGATTTTTTTCCTACAACTTCAACTAAGCTGGTGATTTCTTCCATGTAATATCATATACTCTATTGTGTATAGAAGAAGCTGGTAAGAGTGCCCTCCTACATAAATACGCTGCAATTGCAGTGTTTTGCATGCAAATTTTTAAAAATTAAATCATCCTGATTTAATTTTGTAAATGGAGAAACAATATTCCTTTCTCAGAAGTAATGGAGGGAGCGCTTTGTGCATTTTTTATATATTTGAGTTCACTTTTCTGTAGTGTCATACTTTTCACACAATTGAGTTTCTCATAAGTATCCTAGTTCATGTACATCTGAATGCTAAATAATACTGTGTTTAAGTTTTGTGTTGCAAGAACAAATGGAAGAAACTTGAATGGTGCTACAGCTCAAAAAAATTAATAAAATCAAATAAAGGTTTTTTATATATTCCTATTTTAAAAACAACTGAGGTATAATTTATATCCCATAAAATTTCACTTTTTATGATCCTTGACTCATTTTGAGTAAGTGTATTAAATTGTATAACCAAGGAATAAAGAGTTGAAAATGAAAAGTAATAGTAAAATCATTATTATTTATTTATATTTAGAATATGAATTTGCTGTCGGATGCTCGTTCTGCTAGAATGTACCGAGATGAATTAGATGCACTCCGAGAGAAGGCAATCAGAGTTGATAAACTTGAAAGTGAAGTCAGTAGATATAAAGAAAGACTACATGATATTGAATTTTATAAGGCAAGAGTAGAGGTATGTTGCATAATGAACCATTCACAAAATTTTTTCTTGAACGCAATTTTCAAAATGCATTTGAAATGCACTTAATGTTGAGCAATTGTTGCTTAGACTTTTACAAAGAGATTTTTGGACTTTATTAATTTTAATTTAACTCTTTGGGACTCTTTCTTTATCTAGCATCATAGAGCAGACTTTTGAAGTCCTTCCTATAAACTTACAGTCTCTGTAAGTACTTGTCTCTGCTAATGTCTAACTTGTTCCCAAAAGTGAAAGAAAAACATATTTTTTATAGCTTTTGAGATTGCTAAATCAGGATTAGCAAAGGCTTTGTATATACAAATGAAGAAAAAAGAACTTTTTCTCCTTGATCTTTGCAAATAATGTTACATGAAGTTAAATTGACAGAAGGAATTTGGTACTCCTTTCATCCTTTTTTCTTTTCTCAGATTTCTTTATTTTCTGTAAACAGGAGATTTTGGTCAGTTTCAGTATGAGAATAAGAAGAATATGCAAAATTAAAAAATGAAAATGTAAGAATCGAACATTTTAGCCTGAAAGTTATCAGTAAATACACTCAATTGGACTGTAAGATAAAGTACATATACTTCGCCAGTTATTCAGATACACATGGCACTATTAAAGAATCATCAGAGACTCTACTATTTTATATTTCCTTCAAACTTTGTTGGCTACGGGCATATATAATTTAGCAAGAGGAAATTGCAAATACTTTCAAATCATATGTAGGGGCTTTTAAGTATTCCCTCAATATGTTCATATAAAGTATTTTATCAATGGAGCATTAGTTTATTTGAGTCTTGTTTTTTACTGCAAAAACTTAAAACCCTTCACTTTAAAGTTAAAACTCTTAGTTGGAGAGAAATGTGTAATTCTTTTTCATCAGTAAGGTAAGCTCTGATTCTATGGAGATGTGTCTTAAATATTTGGAAGACTCCTTATACTTTGGCCCTTATCCTTGTGACTAAGGAATTTAAATATATTCCACAGTTTTCTGTGAAATTATAATGATATTACTTTTCCTTCTACAAGTACTAAATATTTTTATTACATAATTCCTTAAAATTTGGGGGAAAATGAAGGCAAAAAACTTTCTGTTACTCAGTAATATAAACTCTTACATAAACTGTTGATAAAGATGGCTTAATGTTTTAGTTTACAATAATTTTTATGTTCAAAATCTTTAAAAATTTAACAGATTTTTAGCACATTTGTGATAAAGCTTATTTGAAATGTTTATAGGAATTAAAAGAAGACAATCAAGTTTTGTTAGAAACAAAAACTATGTTGGAAGACCAACTAGAAGGAACTCGAGCTCGTTCTGATAAATTACATGAGTTAGAAAAAGAGAATTTACAACTAAAGGCTAAACTGCATGATATGGAAATGGTAAGTTTTATGGGATAAATTACATGGCCTCTCGGGAGAAATTCTAAGATTTGACTGACTTTTCTGTAATGACACAGAATGCTAAAGTCCTAGAAGCTTCAGCAGAGAAAAGATAGATGAGTTAGATGCTTGTAACTTTATATAAATATAACTCTACTACATGAATAAGTAATAGACATTTCTGCTTCTGTTATAGGTAGATTTTTTTTGTTTGTTTTTTTGTTTTTTTGTCTATCTTTCAAACCCACAATAAAGTATTGTGTAAGAATGTCTTTTAAAATACAGAAAACTACTGGCTAAAATTTAAAATGCAGTCAGAATTCTTTGTAGAATTCATAGTTAATGTACTGACTACAATGAAGCACTTTCATATTGTCCCAAAAGATCACTTTAAAAGGATATCTGGCACTTGATAATGACTAGTAATAATAACTGATTATTTCCTTCAAACTGAAATTTTTAAGGCACTCAAAATTTATCCTCGTTCAGTTTCTAATAAATTATGAGTGATAAAATGGTAGTGCCTTGAAATTGTACTATTTCTTAGTTTTCTATTCTGTCCCTTCTCCCTGCCAATAAAAAAGGAACGAGATATGGATAGAAAAAAGATTGAAGAATTAATGGAAGAAAATATGACTTTGGAAATGGCACAGAAACAAAGTATGGATGAATCATTACATCTTGGCTGGGAACTGGAACAGATATCCAGAACTAGTGAACTTTCTGAAGGTATTCCAAATTTTATTATATTTAAATAGATGAATGAATAAATGAAGTGTGGTAATGTTTACATTTATGGCTATTTTATCAATTCTTTATTTTTCACGGCTGTAGATACCTCAGGAGGCCAGCTTCTCTCTAAAAACGATCGTACCCAGAAGTTTATTGTTTCTTCCTTTTGAGTTCTGGTCCTTAGCTTTGCATGTCTTATAATTCAGTTTTATAATGCAGTAACAGATTTAATTGATTTAGGCACTATTTCATTTTTGTGTCACACATTGCTGGAATACCGGTTTATTTCTTTTAAGAAATATAGCCATCTAGTAAATAGAACACAAAAGTCATTTTAGTTGATCAGCCTGTTCTTTGAATATAGACAAACCAAAATAGAAAGAATACAATGGGAAGATTCTTCTGTAAATATGAAGTCAGAGTAAAGGAAGTTTAGGATCTTATGACTACTTTCATATATGTAATCATGATTACAGTATTGTACCTGCCAATCAGTTCATACTGAAGATAATAAATGCCCACCAGAGAAATTTTTAACTTTTGACTCTTTATTTGTTCCCCTGAGCTCCACATTGATTTGTCCTCTTTCTTAAAACAGGGGCCAATTGCATGTGATACAGTTGTTTTAAGTTATTACTTAGGTCACATGTGTTCAAAGTAGACAGTTCCATAATTGTTCAGTTATTAGTCTACCGCATTTCTTTAGCAAATATGTATTAAACACTTACCTAGTGTAAAACACTGTACCAGACCCTAGGGACATAGTGTTGAAGTAGATACAAGCTCTGAGAAAGTTCATATTTTGGTGTTTATAGAATAATTACTTATATAGATAATGCATCTTATATATTGTCTCTTAGATTATTCCTAATTTCACTCTTAAGAACCTAATTTCAAATTCTGATGCCTCATGTACTGACTACATAATACATGATAAGTTTTTTGTCAGTGAAATTTTGGAGATGTGTTATATAAAGTATTTTTGTAAATTTTTTATTTTATTTTATTTTATTTGCAAATAAAACAATTTAGGCTTAAATTTTTCTATGAAAATAGTTAAAATTATAGGGCGAGGGATTTAGCTCAATGGTTCTGGCACCTGCCTCACAAGTTCAAGAACCCAAGTTCAATCCCCGGTACAAAAAAAAACCAAAAAACCCCAAAAAACAACACAAAACAAAAAAAAATAGTTAAAATTATAGTTAAGAATATCCTCATCTAAGTGGGGGACAAAAGTACCTTCTAGGGTTGTGAAGATTAAATTTCTTGGTATATATGAAGTCCTTGGAATAGTATCTACTAAATAGTAAGCAGTCAAGTGTTAGCTATTGTTACTACCATTATATCACAATTTTGTAATTGTAGATCAGAATGTTTGACTTAATGTGAAGTAGTTGTTTTAATTATACAGGGGACTTTCTAGAAATTTTGTAGAAGGTAAAACAAAAGGGAGGAAATAAGAATCACTGATAAGCTGGGTATGGTAGTGCCTGTAATCCCAGCATTCTGGAGGCTGAGGCAGGAGGATCCATGTGAGTTCAAGACCATCCTGGGCTACATAGTGAGTTCCAGATCCGTCTCAACTACATAGGGAGACCCTGTCTCCAAAAAAAAAAATAAATAAATAAATAAATAAATAAATCACTGATAATCTCCTTATATCACTTTTACATTTCAGAATATTTGCTTCAGAACATTTCTACAAATGTATAGGTAACTTAAATATTATAAGGTTGGGCCAGGGATTTAGCTCAGCAGTTCGGTGGGCTGCCTTGCAAGCACAAGGAAACATTATAAGATTAATGTGTATATATAAAATACAGGCTGATATACCACCAGATTATAAATCTCCCATGTTGTGAAAAATGTGTCAGGAACATCATTTTTTAATATTTCATAGTATAAATTGAAGTTTCACTAAAGCACTGTCATAGTGTTGGAAATATTAATGTTTATTTGAAATCATGACTACATATCTTTATTGAGAATTGATTAGACTGAATCATGATGAAACAGAAAATCTAAAAAGACCACTAATGATTAAAGAAATTGAATCATTAATAAAAATCTCCCATCAAAGAAAAGCCCAGGACCTATTTAGCTTCACTGATAAAATGAACTAATACCACTCCTTCCTAAACTCTTCCAGCCAATTAAAAAGGAAGGAATGCTTCCAGTCTCATATTACAAGGTTGGCATCACCCTTATACTTTGAAGCTAGGCAAGAACACTACAAAAAAATTGTAGGCCAGTTTCCTGATAAACATAGAATAGAAAATCCTCAACAAAATACTAGCAAATCAAATCAGTCTATTAAAAGGATCATTCATCATGATCAAATGGGATTTAACCCTGATATTAAGGGACGGATGAACATACACAAATAAATGAATGTGACACATCACATTAACAGAATAAAGGACAAAAATTGTTATCCTATCAATGGATTATAAGAAGAATTTTACAAAATTCAACCTCCTTTCCTGATGAAAACTCAACAAAGTAGATATGAGAGCAATTTCAAATTCTAACTGTAGATGCAACCCAGCAATTACCTCAATATAATAAAGACCATAAAAGATAAGCCCATAGTATCATATTCAGAAGTGAAAACTTAAAACATCAACCGTAAGACAAAGATACCCACTCTTGCCCCTTCTGTCCAATATAATGTAGAAGTCCTAGCCAGGGTATTTAGACAGGAGACAAATAAAAGGTAACTGTATTTGTCAGCTTTCCTGAGAGGTTTATTTGGCACATAGTTTCAAGAGATTAGTTCATAAAATTGGCTGGTTTCCAGGCAGAAATGGCATGATTGAAGGACTAGTGAAAGAAAGCTGCTCAATCCATAACAACCAAGAAGCAGAAGCCAGGAGCCAGGGATAAGAATATATCCTTCCAGGTCATGCCTCCAAAGGCCACCCATTCTCTTCAGTCATGTCCATCTCGTAACAGTACATTCGCTCATGACTCACCAGTGGATTACTCCACTGATAAGTATGGTGTCCCCATGGTCCAATCACTTTCCACAGCCCTACCTCTGAACATGTAAGACATTGAGGGAATATTGTATCTACCTGCATTTAGCTATTCCACACCATATATATATATATATTTTTTTTTTAAACATCATGTTGTATATATACAGCCTGTGTTGTTGAGTTTCTATATGCAACTTGTCAGTTAAAGACAAGTAAATAAATATATTATTGGTGGCAGCATGAAAACAGTAAAAAAAAATGTTATTCAATGAAAGTGTCCACTCAAGGTTAATATATAGAGCCATTTGTGGTGGTCATTTGTCATCCCAGCTGCTTGGGGGGCTGTGATGGGATAACCTCAAATTCAAGGCCAGTCAGGGCACTGTGTGTGATGAGAACTGATGTCAAGCAAAACAAAAACAAAGTTTAATACAGAGAATTTCTATAATTCATAACTTTATTTCATTCTTTAGTTACAATTAAAGAAGGTAGTAATTTGATTCCTTGGACCAAACCAATATATGAACTTGAATAAGGACAATAAGGGTTAACATTTACATGTTTTTAATGTGATAAATGAGCTTGTTTTTTATTAAAATATCTAATTCAAGTTGGATTGGCAATAATGTTACACTCAGGAATGATGCATATCCAAATTGTTTTTATGCTATGTTTTAACCCTATGAGACACGCAGATTTACAAAGGGATGGTGATGATAATGGGAAAAAAGCAATTTTAAAATAATTTCAGCATGCTCACTTTTTAAAAACTTTAACCAAAATGAAAAGTGTTCGTTGTATTTTTCAGAACTTGTTTAATACTTCAGTAGATTCTAGTTATACAATGTATCCTATAAGTCTATTGTTAAATTTAAACCTTTTTGTGAGCTAAATAAATTGTAGATTAAAACAAAACAGACTTGGGAAACTAAAAGAATTTAAAAACTCAATGACTGTCTAGTAAATTTTAAGTGTAAGATTAACCACAGTTGGATTTTGTGATTATACCTGTAATCTCATCTACTAAGAAGGCTAAGGGATGAAGATGGAGAGTGCAGTGTCAGCCTGGGCAATTTAGTGAAACCTGTTTCAAAAGTTTAGAAAAAGGTCTGGGGATATAGTTTAATGGTTGAGTGTTTGCCAAGCATGCATATGACCCTAGGTTCAGTCTTCATTATGTCCAAAAAGGAAAAAAAATCTAGTGATATCCTAATGAAAATAGTAATAAATATTGAGAATTTGTTGACTTTAACTATGGGATTATTTACTATACCTAATTTGGAAGAGTATGTACTACACATTTGGAAACATTCACTGTATGAATACGATATCTTGATTTTTATGAAGAAGGATTTCAAATATGCACAAAATAGACCTAGAAATACCTTCCATTACCTTCATCCATTTTCCTCCTTTACATCTAGAATTTCAGAATGAATTCTGGGTACAGTATTTCATTTTGAAATCTTTTTTTTTTTTTGGTACCAGGGATTAAACTTGGGTCCTTGCGCTTGCAAGGCAGGCCACTGAACCACTGAGCTAAATCCCCGGCCCTAAATCTATTTTTTTAAAGATGGGTTTTTCCTATGTTAGACTACTCAAGTAATCTTTTTTAAAAATTAATTTTATTGATACATTTAATGTATACAATATAATGACATTTATTTTTGTAAATTTGTATCTTTACATAATCAGTCTTGTTTCTTAGTTTTTCCCCATACCCCTGCACTCCTTTCAACCCTTTCCTCCCTCCCTCCCTGTGTACAAATACTTTGTTTCCATTATTTTTCATTTTCTCATATTAATTCAATTCCTTTCTTTCCTTTCCCCTACCCCTTTCATTTTTCCTTTCTCTTTCTCTCTTTTCTTCCTATTTCACATTATCTATTATACCTTTTAATCCTTATTAACACTTTCAGTTTCTCACATTAGAAAAACTATTCAGTAGTAACACGTGTGTCCTCTTTATATCACCTAAAAGTATCACCTCAGGGCAGGGGATTTAGCTCAGTGATT